ACAATCACCTGATTCTTCATGAGCTAGTCACACTATCTTTTCCTCCCGTCAAACTGCGCGGCCACAACACACAAAGTTTACGTTGTCCATTCGCCTAGTACCATGTCTGAGCCATACCAACTAATACACCTCAGACTGATTTCATTCGTAGCCCACTCAGCAGGCTACTTTTTCATTCACGGCAGCATGATTAAGCAAAACATTTCTATCAATATTATTCCCCAGGCTTCTACGCACAGGCTCGCCACATGTCATTCCTTCTGAGACCACTTTTACAGAGAGGTGCTCTCCTCTAATTAAGTCAGATTTAACACCGATGCCATAGCAGCACAGTCTATAAGCTTTCCTGTCATTGACTGCCGCACTACTACACTTTACATATGACCACCCTTTCAAAGCAGCTTCACCTTAAGGAGCGTTTTGTTCTAAAACACGCCCAGAAATATTTCACTTACAAATGATCTTTAGATTCCGCAAAGTCGCCCGCAATGTCAAGTTTTACAGCACCAGCCGATAACCCCACAACTCACTCACCATTCATTCAACCCATCCCAACCAAAAAAAAAGAAACAGATCTAATATACCCAATGCATTTGGGTATACACTCGTACCTCTCCTCGACCTTGTCAATGTCGCGTTCAGTGAGCCTAGATGTCTAAACTATGATTTACACAAACTAAATGCGAAAAACTCTTGAAAGACAACGCTTCGACAATTCGAGATAGAGTCTAAACTCCGCATTGACATCACACAGGTTGACACTTATAAGCCAAAAAAATAATACCCCGTTCTGAATTCTTACACTACTATAAGAAGACTTTGTGAGGAACGTAGGAACGTACAAAAGATGAAGCTCGTGGCACAAGCAAAAAATTAGCAGTAGGATAATGACCTCTGACATTCCAGGCATACTCGGCACCTCTATTCACCAAGTCTGGGTCTGCGTGCTTGCCAATCCCACGTGGATTCTTCTGCCATAGATAATATAGTAAGGGCGCAGGCGAGCTGGTGAATGTTAACCATGTTGAATGAACCTGAGACAGGGGCAGAAATGAACTTATAAGTCGAAAAACGAAAAAGGGCAGGACGACGTCGTCGCTCTGTGTATTGCGGTCCTTTCAACTTATGTGTTCATTTCTGCCCAGTCCCAGGTTTATTCAACATGGCCTTTTGTCCTCTTAGCGCTACAAGGGATATGACCGCCTCTTCTTTGCTCTGCCCTGTCTTCAGAGTTATGATCCGCGTGTTCCCATTGTGTCTTCTTTTAGCCTCACTCTTGGTTTTGCCTACCGCTCTGAGCCCTCACTCTTTTTGGTATGTGGAATCATTCGGCTGCGATTGCTAGTTATGCCAACTTGTCTCATCTGAGCCGATCTGCACTTGTCCTCATCGTCCTCGAGCGGTTTTCGACTTCTGTGCCGGGACTTTGACGCGTTCGGCATTTCCTTCTGCGAGGACATAACGTTACACCTCTAGTCTTCAACCTGTCTTTTTGTTATTTAGTGACCAACAGACCTTTAATTTTGCGGGAGTCCCTTGAGCCACTGTCGGCCACTCCGTTCATATCCCGACGCACAATACCTTCACCCACAGTTGTCTTAAAAGGGCCATGAAACGAATTTTGGGCTGGGACGAATGATTTTAAATTGGGACTTTACTCATCGCATATCGTTTAGTTGGCCAAAAGAAAGAGGGTAGAAAGTCGAAAGCCAGCTTTTCGGTACGAACATTTGAAAATATAGCGGACTATTTTGTACCTTCTTTCCTTCGAAAGCTCTCCGCCTTTTCACTATGATACATCCGTGGTTCTAAAAGCGCGTCAGCGGTGCCAACCTGACGTCAGCCGAGCCCAGCTCACGCATGGACACGAGAACTGCGTCACTCGGACGTATGCGCTCGTCGACAATCAATCCGTCGACGAATATTTGGATTCGCGTTCGCGGCCAATGAGCGCCCTGACGAAACTTATCGTCACTGGGGAACGACAAGCTCTATGGTGTGCATAAAAAGCACGGTAGAAGCCAGGAGTCATCGCACCGGTGCCGAAGAATGTCACGACGACGTTATTTCACAATTTGCATTTGAGTTGAGGATTAAAGCTAAGGGGGAAGAAGTAGAAAAATCGTTTCATGACCCCTTTAAGATCCGAAACACGTCTATCACTTCCCTTGTCTGATTTGTGACTGCCGTTTTTGTTGAAACCGAGTGCAGGCCCGTACAGGCCTCGTCAGCACTTTCATTGTTGTTATCACGCAGTGATTCATCTCTTCTCATCAGCTAGGTTTGTTCCTTCAGTCGGTGGTACTGCAACTTTAGATTGATCGTTTTTGTATTGAACTGAGCCAATTCTTCCTCTACAGTATGATACTCCCCAAGAAGCTTTTTCGAAATCATGTTTGTCTTCAGTCCAGCTTTTCAGGTATGCTACTTCACATAAAATCCAGTCATTTAACTCTCCGCGCTCCAATCATAATAATTTCTCTGCAGCAGTAAGCCTACTTAACTCCATTCATCTTCCTGTTCAACCTTTTTATAACCGTCTAGTTCAAAACCCCAAGTATCTGTCCAGCTTCAAAAACGATATCTCACTTCGTTTTAGATTAAAAAAAATTGCTTCGTATTTTCAGATCTAAGATCTGAAAATACGAATTATACGAATACGAATTATACGAATACGAAAATACATAAAATTATGTATCAATGTCAATATAAGATAAGATCTTAAGCCTTCAATTATGCAAACTTTTATTCATCTTGCGATTGTATCCTGGCAGGCTCGCCAAATGTCACTGTTCAGGGACCAGACGTTCGAGGAAAGAACGAGTGCACGATGATGGAAGGAATAAAGCTATGTTACACAGAGGAGGCAGAAGAAACAAATATATAGATGTACAAAAGTTATCAATAGTCTAACATAATCACTTACACGTGATGATCTGATGCTCGGTCTGTGCTGTTGATGATATGGGCTGGACAGGTCAGTCTGCGTCTTTAAATACCCAGTGGTGGTCTCGTTTCGTGTCACTGCCGGGAGTGGGTGCCACTGGTTTGGGTCACCGCCGAATCTGTAACATGGTTGAAAAAACCCCGAGACTGCGGGTAAACGACACAACACTAAAAAGTCTTTAACACAGCTGAAATTTTTATTTTCCGAAATCTGGTTATATAGGCACTTCGATACAAAAGAAAAAAGGGGGGAGAGGGTGAGAACCCTAAAGAATGCCACTTTTCACTAATGTAACCTTTGACTAAATACAAGGACAACGGACTCTGCGTCATGCACTCGTAAGTTCATCGGCACCCTTGTGGTTATTCGGGTCGCTGCTGAGAGTCCCACGCCAGCGGCGCGTCAATGCCCTTATTTCCTCTTGTTCGGTGGACGCCGAGCCTTCCCCGGAAAGTGGCCGTGTTCTTTTCAGAGGCTTCGGGGCACCATCCGGATGCTGCGCCCCTTTTCAGGTCGTCACCAAAATCTAGGCTCCGCTGCTTCCGATTAGCTTTACTCCCCTCGCCTCTTGTCCGCGTCTTTCTCCTGCAGCTTTGGGACCAGGAGGGCTATGTTGCACGTTTTGGACCCCAGGAGACTAGGGAGAAGGAAGTGACGTCAACAACGCTCTTTGGATGTTGATTGGTGGAGTCGCTGATGACGCGTTGCGTGGTGCTGCTAAGATACGTTCATTCACACTTACGTCACTTCCTTCTCCCTAGCCTCCTGGGAATTTAAAATGTTCAACATAGCCCCCCAGCAGTCCATACGGCGATGGCACCAGCGGCAATCTGGGTGGCAGGATATGGAGTGTCCCAGCGACGCTGAAGCGAGGCCAAGCGCTGGTGCACTTGGTCCGGAGCAACGTTGGGGTCCAATCCTTCTGCAGAATGACCGCCTGCCTATCTTCGAGGCTCGCACTTCTTTCTTTTTTTGGCGGAAAAAAGTGTCACTGACATAGCATGTTTATTCCCGGCTTAACTCAAAGCCAACTGCTTGGTGCTTCTTCTTATAACTAAAGTTCCCTCGTTTTTGTTAAATTTGAATAATCCTCAGAAATGAATCCGAGATTCGCTTTTATCAAAATCGTAGAAAACATATGAACACCGTATGAGAGCTTTCCTCGAATAAGAAAAATAATCCAAGCGTCACAAAAAAAGGACATATTTTTCTACAGCTTCGTTTAGTGTTCACACTAAATGAAGAAAAACAAAATCTTAATTTTTTGTTTTTGTTTTTGTTGTCGTAACATGTCGTAACGGGGAGGTCTTTGCACTTCGGCTCGCGTATCTGTCTTCTGGGTTTTAGAAATTTAAATGCCCGTGTTTCTTCTAATAAGCTTTGATAAATCCAAACATTTCGTCCGACACCAAAAATTTATACCGAAAAACTCTGAAATGTCTGGGAAAAAGTATACACCGGTGGAATAATACCGAAAGAAATGTAAACCTAAAAGAAAAACAGGAAAAGCTGTGCGCACCCTACTGGAAAAAAAAAAATCAACCACTTTCGGCTGCCCCAAACATCAAGGTGATAATAAAATTTTACAGACTAATGCCCAGGGTAATTGCGGAAATTATTTAAAGTAAACTTCTTGCTCTAACAAGAGAGCTGGTCGCGGGCAAACGATGTAGTTCCGAAATATCATACACTAGCTGTCGTGAAAGGTAGAGTTACATTCATTCAGTTTCAATATCGGTTTCCTCGTGAATGACTGTTTTGGGTACAAAATCTGTGCATCGCAATGCGGCGAGAAAGTGAGAACGAGGAGAAGGAGGCGAGAGGCGTGCGGGTACGTGAGATCGTCGAGCTTTGCTTCGAAGATTTAGTGCGCAGACCTAAAAACTTTCGTCTCCACAGCAGTCGTCGAACGCGTTAAAGCGTGGAACGCCAGCGTACAGCCTTTGGTCTTCGCATTCAACCGCGTTTTACAAGTGCAGTGGGGACTGCAGAGCTCCGCAAATTGTGCAACCTGCCAGGCCTTCTAGACTGACTCGGGATTGTTCTACCTTAGGTATTCAACGACTTTGAACTGGAGAAGGACAACAAATGTATCAGCGACTATGTGTCTGTCTATGACGGCAACGACACGAACGCTCCGACTCTCGGAACATACTGCGGAAACACAGCGCCCTTGCCTATACTCTCCTCGTCCAACCAAGTATACATGGTAAGCCACCACTCTTCGTTACCTCATTTCTTTTTCGAGTCGAATATGAGCATCTCTGGAGTATTTACATTCCGCAATTCTCCACATATGCGAGATAGATTCCAAAGTTACGGGATTGACAAAACTGTAAATGCGGAGATTTCTACGCCGAGCAACTTAAGGAAAAAGAAGATGAGAGCGTGCGGGAACGACAGAATGTCGAGCTCTTATTCGAATGGTTAGTGGGCAGACCTAAAGCTAGCCAGCTGCCTTTGCACCCACTGCACTCCTCAAACGCGTTCGAATGCCAGAGCCAAACGCCGGACGCCGGATTTTCGATTGGGTACGACGAGTGCAGTGCTCTCTAAAGTACACTTGTAGAACGCTTTCGAATTCGAAAGCCAAATGCTGGACTTCGGCATTTTGCGTTCTAACGCGTTTGGCGAGGGCAGTGAAAACAGGCAGCTAGCTTTAGGTCTACCCACTAATCATTCAAACCAGAGCTGAGCATTCTGACGTTCTTGCATGCCTCTCGTCTTCTTCTTCCTCTTAATTTCTCGGCCAATTCGTTTATTAGGAAAGTATGTGTTGTTCGGCTAGTTGGTGAGGAATGTTTTGAACCATGGTTAAAGCGCTAAAGAGACGAACACAAGAGAAATGTCAAACACGGGCGCTACTCCAAGCTATATCTGAAAAAAAAAAAAAAAGATGGACGTGCGTGTCATATGTTGATACAACTATCGTCACCAGGGCTATGCGCTGGTATACACGCCATTTAACCCGTTTGCACAAATTTATGTAAAATAAAAACGAACAAAAAACGTATCTTGCCATTATAAAAGGCCATCGACGTGTCGCTGACGCGTTGGGGTCTTCCTGATCGAGAGCGCATCTTGCAGTCTACGCGCTCTTTGAATCTTACTTCTACCTAGAATATTGGTGCCACCGATGCATGGCTCACATCCGCAGGCTCTACAGTGCGTGGGCACATTTGCCCACGCACTGTATGTTTATTGTTATTATTACTTAAACCTGATCCGCTCTTATACAATTGATATTTGTAACTCATGCGTGAGCAAGTTCGGAAACGCTGTTCTAAGCTTCCTCTTGCACGAAAAGGCCTGATCAGTTGAAGGGTTGATGTTTGTCAGTCCGATATCCAAGCATTTGCTCTTTGCTCTCACACCTGGTGATGTCTCATTTTTGTGCTTTTGATTTCCCTCGTTGATTTGAGTGTATTTTGTGCTTGTTAATATTTTCATTCTCAGACTGGTGAACTAGGTTCCCCTTCTACACTCGTGTGTATGTTTATTTGCATATGTGTGTTTTCGATTGGTTGTTCCTGCCCACTATTGGTTGTTCCTGCCCACTATAATAAACACTGATTGACTAATTAACTGCTTTATTATTAGTATTAACATTATTATTATTATGAGTTGTTATTATTAGTTGTTCTTATTAGTGTTGTTTTTGTTTTCAGTGTGATTTATTACTAAAATGGAAAAATACATCAACCACCTCTTTTTTATCCTTTACCTGTTTGCGTGTGCGAGTCATTTTTGTGAGTATATATATATATATATATATATATATATATATACATATATCAGTGTGTCGAACCGAAAAAAATACGGGTTCGGTTACGGTTCAGGTTCAGGTAAATTTATTTTTTTCCGGTTCAGTTCCGGTTTGATTAATTCAGTCCGCAAACCGGTTCGCGAACCGGTTCAGAAATTATAAATGACAAACTGCAACATCAAAATAAACTACAAATAAAACATCTGAAATCAGCACATACGAAACGGGATACATCGTAGTGTAAGGCTCAGGGATTTCTACCAGGAATGGTTTCGTTATGTGCACTCAAAGGTTACCTCACCGACGTTTACGCATTCGGACTTCATCTGATTGGGTCCGACGCAGTAGCTGTAAAATACGCGACCTCCTTACAAACCCCCTTACAAGTAGAACTCGCTAACTATCCCGCCACCTCGGCGTGTAAGCAATTAAAGGAACAGTGGGGAGAAAATACAGCTTTCTTTATTTGAACTAGCCTTCGGTAACTCAAATTAGACCCTTAAAGAAGTTTTCATTAAACAAGATACGGATTATGAAAAACGCTTCACCGAACGCAACCCCAGAAGGACGTAATAGGATAAATATTAAAATGAAAGAGTTCGCTGTCTCACAAATATGTTAGCTTCTAAGTGCCTATACAAAACCGGATGCATTATTATCAAACTCCACAGCCTTTTCTTTCTCATTCCGATAGAAGCAAGCTTCAAGAACTCGCGCGTTCTAGAAACGTGTTATGAAATGAGCACACAGCAGCATTTAGGATTTACGAGATTGTAAAAAAATAAAATCCCGTGACGCGATTTTTTTATTTTTTTTTTTTGCACAGCCTTTCAATTTTCTTTCTACCGTGCAAGCCGCGACCAGCGCAATACTGGTTCCTATGGCAAGATTCATGGATGCAGCGTTTGTCAAGATTCGTGGATGCAGCGTTTATATTCCTAAGACTGAGTGGAGAAGAAAAATATGTAAGCGAGGTGTGTGTCAGTTGACGGCACTTAAAAAACAAATGGCATTGATAGCACATTCATTGTCAACAGCGCGTGGCCGAACCGTTTTGACATGAGCCGGTAACCGCTATTTTTTTTTTCCGGTTCAGTTCCGGTTCGGGTTCATCGCGATAACAATATAACGGTTCGGGTTCGGGTTCAGTTCCGGAAAAAATGCCGGTTCGGTTACGGTTTTCGGTTCGGTTCGGTTCCGGTTCGACACCCTGATATATATATATATATATATATATATATATATATATATATATATAAAACTGAGAAGAAAAAAACCCTTAGTGAAAAACAGCAACAACGGACGATTTAATCTTCGACGTTTCGGCCGGAGTCCGGCCTTCGTCAGGAAGAACTTTTACAGATGAACGCGGGTGGTATTTATACAATGCTACGGTCGACCGTAGCATTGTATAAATACCACCCGCGTTCATCTGTAAAAGTTCTTCCTGACGAAGGCCGGACTCCGGCCGAAACGTCGAAGTTTAAATCGTCCGTTGTTGCTGTTTTTCACTAAGGGTTTTTTCTTCTCAGTTTTATACCCACGCCGTCGGCCTCCCGCCACCATGCCCGTTATATATATATATATATATATATATATATATATATATATATATATATATATATATATATATATATATATATATATATATATATATATATATATATATATATATATATATATATACATTTATGTTTAGTAGACTGGTGGTATGTAATAAATGTCTGGCGAGACTCTAAAAATTTACAACTGAGCGTCCCGTACCTTCGAGGATACGGCGGTTTCTTGGTGTGTCCGGAAGATGGATATACACCGTTGATACACGGGTGGTTCTAAGTACAGTCTCTCAACGCAGGTCTTCGTGAGTGATAACGAGGTGCAAGGAAAAGGCTTCTCTGCAACCTACACACAACTGGAAATGGCCCTTGTGGCGAGACGAGGCAGTGAGCAAGGCATCTACTCCCATGCCGAGTACGCAAACCAGCTTTATGAAAACAACATTGATCGCCATTGGGTCATAAAAGCGCCAGATGGACACGTACGCTTAAGGTTCGTTCGTTTTGACATTGAGGCCCACGATTCCTGCGGGTTCGACTACGTCAAGGTCTTCGATGGAGGTGACGAGTCAGCTCGACTTCTGAAAATATTCTGCGGAGACCAGGTAAGTTTATCTTACTTAGATGGTAGGGTCTACGGAAAGCGCTTTAAGAGATCATGAAGTATTCGGGTACAAACAACTGTGACTAGTAATATCATCGAATTTACATTGGAACCAACATGTAGACTTTATTGAAAGTAAAGCAATGAAGAGATTGTGTATCATGAAAAGGCGACTGGAAGACTTCTTGAGTCATGCAAATCTAATTGCATATAAGACACTAGTAAGATATTGAAATGAGTTTGCCGATGTTGTTTCGGACCCACACACAAGCTATAATATTAACAGGTTAGAAAGGATTAAGAGAGCGTCATGGGAATTTATTTCGAACGGATGTGGCAGTATGTTAAGCTTGGACGTCAGTAGAGCAACAAGGTCACCGTTGTTGGTGTTAGTCTGGTGGCAGCTGAGAAAACCCGTTTGCTCTACTGACGTCTAACTCCTGGTGAGCTCAGCTGGTAGAGCGCTCCACTGGAAATGAAGAGGACCTGGGTTCGATACCCAGACCATGCGGATTTTTTCGGTCGCGCACCAGTCACGTAAAGCTGTGTTTGGAAATTTGTGTTTGTCCTTTGTCTCCTTTGTACCCCTTCTCCAGGGATTACTATTGCCATTCCTGTCCAGCTCAGTTGCACCTTTGCATTCATTGCATCTTAATCATAACCTTAAAAATTGCAAGCCGTTCCCCGTTCTTGGTTTTAGTCTGGCGGCAGCTGATAACACCCGTTTGCTCTACTGGCGTCTAACTCCTGGTTAGCTCATTTCGTAAAGCGCTCCACTGGAAATGGAGAGGTCCCGGGTTCGATACCCGGACCAGGCAGATTTTTTTGCGTCGCACACCAGTTACCTATAGCTCTATTTGAAGATTTGTGTTTGTGTTTCTCCTTTGTCCCATTTGTTCCCCTTTTCTATTAACTATTATTGTCACGAAGGTTGTAGCGGCCAGCATCGGTACGCTGCTGGTCTTGATTCCGGAGTCGGACGAGCTGGCGCACTTCTTAGGCCCGCTGAGCAACCACCGTGGCGTCATCGCTCCAATCGTCTGTTGGCACGTGGGGCAGCATAGCGTCCAGCATGGTCGTTACTTTCCGATCATGTACCAACTGGAAAGGTGTAACTACTCTGGTCTATTGAACTGGCGTGTTATAGGCAAACGTGACGTAGGGTACGACGTTGTAACACGTCTTCTGCTCCACGTCGACGTACATGGCGACCATGTAGGCGATGACGACGACTGCTGGTGTGACTGAGCCGGAGGGTCTCTTGAGTTAGCTGTGCTAAAAACGACAACCTTCGGCCTGTAATCAGTACATTGAGGGCACTGTGCCTGGGGATGATGGTTTGGACGAAGAATTTGGCGACTCATAATGCCGCGCCCGATGGAAGGGCTAATTTATCTGGGCATACCTTGTGATGTTATCAATCGGTTGCGACGACAATCCATTGGTTTCCATGCGTCAATCTGGGAACGGTCCAAGCAAGTCCAGTGCAATCTGCTGGAACAGTGTAGTCGTGGGAGTGATTGGCTGCAGAAGTCTTGCCGGCATCGTCGGTGGTTTCTGGCGTCTCTAGCATTCGCGGCACAATTGGACATAGAGCGGGACTCTCTTCGGGTGCTTGGGCCAGTAGCATTTTTTCGAATCCGTGCAAGTGCTCTGCTGTAGCCCAGGTACCCCGCCATCGGATCATCATGGCAAGCTTGGAACACTTCCGCTCAAAGACTGGCCGGGATAACCAACAGCCACGTCGAGTTGGTGCCACCGAAGTTGTCTTTTTTTCTTTCTTTTTGTACTGCCCATTTTCTTTAACATGAAGCTTGTCAGGGCTCGTGCGAATGCACGTGGAACTGCACTCCCTTGTCCATTTAGCTGCTCGATGAGTGCTCGCAGTTTAGGAAAGTCTCATTGAAGTGCAGCATGTTGTTCACCGTCCCCGCGCCGACAAAAACGTCGTCGTCATCACGGTCGTCGGTGCGCTCATACACCCACTTGACGGTGCCCTCGAGAAACTATCGGTGTTGCTGTGTTTGCAGCCGGATTGGTAGACCACACTCACGTCAAAATATTGAACTGAAAGACTCCACCGCGCGAGACTTCCTGAGAGATCCTTCAGGTTTGCGAGCCAACAAAGCTAGTGGTGGTCTGTGGCCACTCGAAACGGGCTTCCGTACAGGTACGGGCAGAACTTGCCTATCGCTCAGACGACGGCAAGGCGTTCCTTCTCGGTCGTTGAGTAATTTCTCTCTGCCTTCGAGGGCAATTGCTCAGAAAGAGCAATTACCCTTTCTATACCGTCCTGCAGTTGGACCAGTACTGCGTCAAGTCCTGTATCACTCGCGTCCGTGTGAATTCCCGTGGGTTAAAATTGACCGAAGTGGCCGAGAATCAAAGGCGTCTGGAGTCTTCGTTTGGGCTCGTCGAAGGCCCGCTGTCGCTGTTCTGTCCACACGAAGTTTACGGCACACTTTGTAAGGTGTGTGTGAGGGGGTGGGGAGTTCGGCGAAGTCCCAAACGAAGCGTATATAGTAGGCGCAAAGCACAAAAACATTTTGGGAATGTCTTTGTGCTTTGCGAACGTCTTTGCTGGGTCAGGCCGTAGACCTTCGCTACTCACGATATGGCATAGAAACTTCAATTTAGCATAGGCGAGCCAGCACTTCGTCGGCTTGAGTGCCAGTCCGGCGGTCTTGATGGTTTGAAGCACGATCCAAAGCCGTATCTAGTGTTTGTCGGAGTCGGTTGAAAATACCACAACGTTTTCAAGGAAGACCAGACAGCTTTGCTATACAAGGCCAGCCAGCACGGTGTCCATTACGCGCTGAAATGTTGGCGGTGCTGTGCATAGTCCGATCGACATTGCTTTGAATTCCTACAGTTCGTCAGGCGTAACAAACGCCGTCTTCTGAGGATCTCGTTCTCGTTTCTACACTCTTAGAAAAAAGGGTATCGATAGTCCTTCCTAAGGAAAGGAACGGACTTGTAACCTATGTTTCTTTAGAAAGGAAGACACTTTCGTCCCTGAAGCAGGGGAGCAAATAGTTCCTCCGTCGCCTACATCTCATTATGGCGGCCCTGAATCGAGCAAATCGAGCTCAATAAAGCTTAACGAGGACGCAACGTCTCTTGCACAAGACGAGAGGAGCAACAAATAAAAGCGCAACACGAGCTTTCCGGAAACTGTATTTATTTCCGAAGCCAGATTCCCCCCGCATGTACAAAAACTTGCGTTTTGTAAGCAATTACTCGGTCTTCTCGTCGTCAGCACTGCGATGTTGAACGGAGACAACCGTTACCCAGTTATTTCGCGCACCTTACGTCTTACCTTTTGCTGTTCCTCGAGCTACGATTCCGTATTCAACCGCACATCACGGAGGAATGGCAAGCCAATCCGCGAAACCAAAAGCAGCTCTCAAAAGAACAAACTCGAAGCAGCTGTTTATCGCGTAGCATGAAAGAAGGTCAAATCGCTTGCCACCAGATGGCAGGGTCAAGCAGAGTAATTGCAAGTTGCTGGGCTAGGTGGCGCTAGCTCCCGCCCAATTCATGTTCTACAAAAATATTATTATTTCCTCACGCTATCATTGCGCTTCGAAAACCTTTATTGCCTTTATTATACACACATGTAGACATATTACGTATACTACAAATATCAGGTGAACATGTATTGAGCGCATACAGATACATGGCACATACAAACATCAATACAATCATTTCGTCGTTTACCCTGAGACTGGGGGGTTTTTTTTGAAGAGCAGAAGAAACAGAAAAAACAGACAGGTCTCTGTTTCTGTTTCTTCTTCTGCTCTTCAAAAAAAAAAACCCCAGTCTCAGGGTAAACGACGAAATGGTTGACTTCCACCAGCTAGCCTGTACTTTGACTCTTTTCTCGTTAATCAATACAATGGCACACGAAGCCCATCACTACACCCGAGCTCTGCGTTTCCGTCTTTTATACTGGTCGTTTTGAACGCACAGAATTTCTCAGTGATTGCATTAGAAATAAAAATTATTCCCAACATGTTGATTTCTCTCCAGCAATGTCATATCTCTGAGAGTATTTTGAATGGCTCAGGGGATGAATCTCTTAATAAAAACGAAACGCTCGCTCATGCCGTAATTATTTGAAAGCCAATAAATCAAGCCGCTCCAATGTGGCTCCAAGCCATGAGTTTGTTTCCCCTTGCGGCACGTCGTAGCCAGTATCCTACTGTAGTGTTTGTTCTTCTTTCTGTGCTGTTCGCGCACGACTGCAATTGCCGTCTTGAATTAATCTCTGTAGAGCGGATATTCACTCAGCTGGAAGTGATGCTTCACTGGCAAAAAAATCGCGTTTCGTCGTCGTAGCCAGTATCTTCTTTCGCCGTGATCGCTATCGCTATTCGCTATTCGCACGTGATCGAAACGCGATTTTTTTGCCAGTGAAGCATCACTTCCAGCTGAGTGAATATCCGCTCTACAGAGATTAATTCAAGACGGCAATTGCAGTCGTGCGCGAACAGCACAGAAAGAAGAACAAACACTACAGTAGGATACTGGCTACGACGTCAGTACCCGAATGCAGTCAGAGCCGCGACTTGCGGCAGGTGTTAGTTGTACAGAGCTACGCCTTGGCGAGCTCGAAAACTTCCAGCGCTCATCCCAGCCCGCCACTTGGAGGACGGTTTCTCCAGGAGCCGTAGTATATTTAAAAAAAAAGTAGAAGGTAAATTTTTTTTCTCGGTTTTACCTATTCTTTTTAATGCTAAAACTCCACACTGTAAATGTAGGTTCATTCCTGCATAATCTCGTACTGTTTAGTCCTTTCCCTAGAGCTCAATCGCTCTCGAGTAGGAGACAACCGCCAGTCACATTGGCCACTGTACGATACGAGCTTACCGTTCAGACCAGCGTTCCAACATTACTATTCGCACGTCGATCGATTGCACCTAATTTCTCAAGTGGTCTTAAACTCTTTAATGTAAAGCGGAATGTCAACCTGCCACATCCCACCCCCTCCGATCACGG